CATTAGTGCTAAACTGTAATAACAAGTGACTGTGGATGTATCCTCTTTGGAGACATTTAATTGATGTATCCCCTCAAAGGGAGGTGCTATGAAACTACATATATCGATGATACCAGGCTGGAAAGCCTGTACGGCTTGTTTGGCGTGAAACCACCGCAACTCTCTTACTTGAGAACGCGATGGTAATGATTACAATCTTCCAGACGCACACATTGACTGACTCCATCTTTTGTTTGCGACTGCACGACGTGCTGCGGGATAATCCAGCTGATCCGCCTAATCCCGTGCCCGTGCGGCTTATTCTTGAACATTCGAAGTTGAAGCCTTGTCGGCCCCTAGTCGGGACGCGCTCGGCCGCTACTATTTGCCATTAGCTACCTTCCACCGAAGCATGTTCAGCTCCCGCGGCCCATTGGACGATCTCCACACCCCAGATCGTCGACCCTTCAACATCCCCGGCATCCATCACTGTCAGCCTTCATCATCAGTCCTCACTTCCAGCCTACTCCGTTTTTCCCTTACATTTTTTTTTGCGCATGCATTCCACGTAGCTATTGCGACGCTCTACCGCACTCAGCACTCATAAGGTCGTGCGACAATGGGTCTCGGCATCCTCTCTGACCATGCGCTCGAACAGGTCCCTGGGACCGCGCAGGTATTGGAAGGCGAGCAGCGGAGGGAAATCGAAAGAAATGCAGGAACTATCATAGGGAGGTCAGGCTTGAAGTACGACAAAACTGGGACAATACTGCTTGTTCCGCAGCCGAGTGATGATCCGAATGATCCGCTTGTACGTCTTTCAAACGTCCCATTCTGGCACAAAATCTAGGCAAGTGCACATAGTTGACTGATACTCCAGAACTGGTCGCTTCGTCGTCGCGACATCATTCTCCTTCTTCTATCCTCCATATCAGTCATCGCAAGCACCCTCTCTCCCATTCTTGCCGCCAATACTGTCTCCCTCGCCATTTACTTTGGTCACAACCTAACCGACATGGCTCTGTTGACCGGCTACCACCTCTTGGGTGTCGGAGTCGCAGGTTTTCTTTTCGTGCCGTCAGCACGTATCTGGGGAAAACGACATGTGTACATTCTAGGAACTGTGATAGTCGTGGTGAGTTGTGCGTGGGGTGGCGCGATAGGAAACAATTATGCTGGATTTCTATGGGCGAGGGTGTTTCAAGGCGTGGGCCTAGCGCCATTCGAAGCACTCGTCAATGGTGAGTTCAAGCGTGGATATCTTCGAATCCTACTTGAAGCATACACTAACTTTGTATCTCGATTCAAAGCCAGTGTTGGCGATATGTATCACGTCCACGAGCGCGGAGTCCGCATGGCGCTGTCAAACTTCGCCGTCTTCGGAGGCGCGTTCCTTACCCCAGTTTTGGTAGGAGTGATTGCAGATTCAATCGGATATCAGTGGACATTCTATTTTGTCGCCATATTCTCGGGGATCATGCTACCGCTGATCATACTCTTCTGCCCGGAAACGGCGTTCAGGAGGGAAGAGAAATTTGACACCGACACTATGGGGAACTTGCTGGTTAAGGATGGAGAAGAGATGAAAATCCTGGGTAATCGGGGGTCGAGTAGCACATCTGCTGAACACGAAGCAGCTGGAAACACGGATGAAAAGGGAGCAGGAAACTCTGCGGACGAGCAGTCGGTGGGTGATTTGCCACGCAAGGCTACTTTTCTCGAAAGTATGAAGCCGTTCAACGGGCGGAAAACAGATGACCGGTATCTGCACCTCCTTCTGCGGCCGTTCTCGCTGTTCTTGCATCCGGGTATACTATGGGCCTGTCTCATCCAAGGCAGTCTAATCGGTTTCACGGTCCTTATCGGTGTTGTGCTTGCAGCAATTATGCTTGGCCCACCGCTTTGGTTTGGAGAGAAAGAGACAGGATACATGTAAGTTGATACATTCCGTTCATATTTTGCACCTACATGTCCTAACCCCATCAAGGTATACAGGCGCCTTCATCGGTGCACTCCTCGGCTTCGGCCTCACCGGTCTGATTAGCGACTGGTCCGCCAATCTGCTCACGCGTCTCAATAACGGCGTCTACGAACCCGAGTTCCGCATGGTGCTCGTGGTCCCACAACTCATATTAGGTTGTGCTGGTATCTATGGCTTCGGTTGGACCAGCGCAGATACGGCAACGTACGGCTGGTTTTGGCCTGATTTCTTCTTCGCGCTCGTAGTTATGGGTATGGTGTGTGGTGCTGTCGCCAGTGCGCTATACATTGTCGATGCGCATCGTAAGTCTCCGAGACCATTCCATGCTTTGAGATACTGACGTGTATAGGCGGCATGTCCATCGAAGCTTTCACGTGCCTCCTCGTTTTCAAGAACGTATTCTCCTTCGCCCTGACGTTTAAAGGCTTCGACTGGGTCGTTGAAGCTGGACGGCGGAGTGGGGTAGGTGGTGGTGGGGGAATCAAGACCCTGTTTATCGCCGTCGGGAGTGCGCAGGTCGCTGTTTGTGCGTTGACGATTCCGATGTGTAAGTCTCAGAGAGAAGGCGAGATGACGGCAGTGGCTAATCCGTGCTTTTATAGATATCCTCGGCAAGAAGAACCGGAGTTTCTTCCACCGCCACAATGTTTTCTTTGCAGTAACGGATTGGGTGGCGGATAAATTGACATTTTGGTAGGAGGTTGTCAGAAGGCCATTGTTGGAGAGGATCGCTTGGGGTGTATTAATGTCGACTTCGATTCCTGCACTGTCGTTTACTATGTTTGTTTCTAGCTTCTGTTGTTCTTGTCGGATTAGAGTCATCTATCCCTGCCATCGCCGCATTGATCCTGCTTCGGTTACATGAGGTTCTAGTCACACTATAAGCCATGAACAACTCTATTCCTTCACATACGACCATAGGACACTGAGAATTAGGCTTCCCGTCCGCTCAGCCATATACAAGCAGTGTACCGGCGGATTAGTAGTTAGGTGGGTGACCACTAGCGAATCCCCGCTGTTGTATGTTTTTGCTCTTTTTTGCGCCATGGTGGTGGTGATCTTTTTTTTTTGCGCGCGTTCGCCCCACCAGCCTAAGACCCACCACGAAGCTCTCAAGCGCGAACACCACTCACTGCCCACCAAGCTACCGAGATACCAGTTATCGCAATGAGGATTTCTAAAGCATAGCTTTTCTTAGGAGCAGTGGTTTCCTCGGCCTTGTGGGACGTAGCATCTTGTCGGTGTGCACTTTGTCGATGTTGAGGAGCCCGTCGTTTCTTTTTGTGAGAGAATGCAGGCTTTGGAAGAAGAAGATGATCGCGTTGTTGTCGCCCTGAAGTGGGTTGTTCTCTGTCTTTTGCGTTCGAGCCTGAGGGGGCAGTTCGCGAGGGAATCTTACTTGTGTTCACTGGGGAAGAGATATTCGGTGACGCTGGTTCGCCAGGCTGTTCGACTGGAGTGGCCGTCTCTATGGGTTGTTCTTTTCTAGCTTTGAACTTTTGCCACCTGCGCTCTTCGGCTTCGTTCCAATGACCACCTAGGAGCGTTGGCGCACCATCATTCTTCTAGAACACGTATGGACCGAGCGTAGATCCATCTGGTGCACAGCGTACTTTGGGTGCCCACTTTGGGTGCTCGGCGTCAAGATAGGCGACATCCTTGCCCTGGCGGTCTTTGATAGTGCCTAGAGATTTCGGGTTGTCACTACCAAACGCAAGGGTGTAACCATCTGTGGAGAGAGGCTGCCCAAAAAAGTTGTAGATAGCTGCAGGCGCGTGCAAGACTTCGTGGAGGAGGATGGTTTCGTGCGAGGATGCACCTGAAGCATCGGGCGAGCTTATTGTCGGAATCTCGACGCTTCCCATTCCCAGCACGGGACAGGGTATGGGAAACATGTCCGCATAGACTACCACTTCTGATTTGAAGGGCGTGTACGTTTTGAACCATGCTCGGTGTGTTGCGACGCTGTTAAACCGGTAATCAACAACTGATGCTTTCGTGCCAGCTCTGGTACACTTACTGTACGTTTGAATTAAGCACAACGACCCAGTCGGGGCATGGGAGTCTGTTGGTATCCGGATTCATCTCGTAGTCAGACTGATAGACCTAGCTCTTCACACAAGTGTTTCTGATGAACGGGGCTGGATGAGATGTGGCTTAATGATGAGTATCCTCCTCAATGTGATGGTGGGAGTGGAGATTGTTCTCTTGCGACCCCAAGATTGTTTGCTGCGCGCGATTGTCCCTGGGGCCATGCGCCGTTTTAACCAGAAGTAGCCACGCTAAACTCATAGTAGACAGCTACCCCGCCACCCCACCTCCCGCCAGGGCCGCACCTGCCGAAACTACTGCAACATTCCGAATTCCTAGAAAAACAGCACACAGTGTCTTCCAGTAAAGGCTCAGTCCAGGCTACGCGTTAAACGATCACAAGAAGTTCCACGCGCCCCCTGCAATGCGCCCCGAGCCTACAGACTGAAACTAGTCTATAGGCGCCCTGGGCGTGCTTCACGCGCCGACTGAACATGCGACCCATGAATCTTGACAAGATCAAAGCGAGCTCTTTTCGCGCCGAGCACAGCTTTTGCCACCCCGGTGACGTTCGTCAATTGTCCTGAGCTTCAATGAATAATGATTGCATCGCGTTGCGTCCGCTCAGCAGAGCTGAGCAGTGCATTGGTTGCTGATCAATGACTGACGAACTCCAGCTGTTGTATGCTTTTGGCTTCATTTTCGCTCATGGAGTGAACATCTTTTCCCCCCAGACCACACCAATATCCCACGATCCACTACTGGTCCCACTCAGAACGATGGCGAACTGTGCACCAAAAGCCCCGACGTGGTGGTATTCCCTCACGGGATGTTCATGTCCTTCAATCGTGCCTCTGCCCAAGCTCCAAGTTCGCCGAAGAACTTTTCAGACTCACCACCATGCCAGTCGCGCAACGCAAACCACAGATAGCGCACATCTTTTCCCGCTTTGATCGCGAATTCGAAATCTGGCGCATGCGTGTACAACTCCTGTTCATTGTACCAGGTGTTAGCGCACCGTCATGGTAAGCAGGATTCGGTTCAGACGAACCGTGATGTAATGTCGCGACCAGGTGGCATATGCTTCAAGTTCTGCAGCCGTCGGTGATCCAGGTATCCTAGTGACAGCCGGCTCAGCATGCTCGTTCGTGATCAGATCCACAGGACCAGCCGCGACAAGTGGGTCAGCTAGTAGAGCTGGAACGATGCATGCTGTCTCCCAATCATATAGCGACGTCACTCCGGGCTTACGGTCGTCGTCTGTGATGATCGAAGTATTGTGTATCCCAAAGTCACCGTGCTCAAGCACTAACCTGTACAAGATCTCGGAGTTCTCTTGCGGCAGTAGATGTGGTATCGCTCTGAGGAGAGACTGCTTCGCTGCTAGTGCAACAGGTCCCACAGTTTCTTCATCATCTTCCCATCCAATCATGTCACCTTCGTTCTTGATTGTTGCTTCAACCTTTGACTCCATTACGTGTATCCAGAATTCGCGAGTAGGCGCTACGGGTAAGGTGAAAGCGTGTGGTTTGAAGTCAAAGATGCGGCTATGCAGGTACTTGGCTGCAAAGTCAGAGGGTGGGCAATAGTTGAAGAGAGCGGCACGCATGCGTGCAAGCTGATCAAGGAGAACAATCTGAGAGCTTTTAGTATATCTCAACGCCTCGAATAATGACTCATACCTTTGCCTCAGCATCGAGCCCTTTCCACACATTGTTTGTGCCGTCTGATCGTTCGAACACAAAGATGCGTCGACCCGAGAGATCTGCTGGTATCTGGACTTTAGGACTCGGTTTGAGGACCGGTGCACGGTGATAGAGCAGACGAGATGCGCGGACTTCTGCTTCGTTCCGCAACAGATCATATGTGGCGGCTTCGAATTTAACTTCAGCGACCTGCCGCTCGACGACAAAGCCATCAAAATCCGGCATATTGACGTCGCCGCGAGCTAGACGAACTACCAAGTCCGGTCCATCGCGAACCTGAAGGTGAAATCCCTAAGCACAAATCAGTAAACTGTGATTGGTAAGCGAGCTGAGTTAGAATGACATTGAGTTCCGATATCGTCTCCGCCGAGCCTATCGCGTTGGGCCGCATGGCTAGATCAGCTGACCCTAGAATAGCCATGATAATGCACGTACATAGTTGTTGGAGCCTTTATCGATAGTCGGGATATCTGTTACTTCAACTTGGAGCTTCTCTTCAATCTCATCAATGAGCAACTGGACGTTCCACACGTCTCTGAAGGGACTAGCATTGTCCCGCACCAGTGTCAGAATCTGTTTGCCCTCGTACTCTTCTCCATTCGATCCAACGGGCCATTCGTCGCGCCAGCCCATGCTTTCTTAAAGTTCGATATGACTTCGCGCTTCCTTGGTGTGGTTGATATTCGTGAGATAGGTGGAAGGTGAGTGATCAGTTTGGCATTACTCGATGCCGATTTGTGTTTGCCTTCACTCGCTAATCGTTACACAAAGGCGTCTAGACAGCGAACGCCCCGTGCGTTGCATGATGCAAGGGTACGCCATATAACAGCAATGGATATGAAAAGACATTTGGACACTACTCATACCGAGCCTCATCCGTCCCGCTTCCTACTCTGTTGAGAAGCAGAGGTCAAAGACCGTTGAGCAAAGTCGTGATGTTTGGAGTAATCTGTTGTGTCGTGAGTACACGAGACCGACAGAGCAAGATAGCGCCTAGAGGATGCGTTTCGCGCTCTGAGGTTTCGCAACCTTCGGGTGCGCACACGCGTGGGAGACGCGCCAGTAGAAAAATGGGTCTTGTGACGTCATGTCGACGCGTTGTCGGTGCGTGGAGTTTTGGCAAGTGCAACGCGCACCCTGAATTTCCACCACGCAGCGCCATAACAGCAACAACTCTGAAGGAGCAACGCATTTAGTTTATTAGTTACGAAGTAAGCAACTCATTCCAATGATATAGGTAGTGTATCCATGAATAACATGATCAAACTAAAGAGTGGCACGAGGGAATGGCACGCGCTTGCCGAACCCTACACTTTCAAAATTGGAGAAATACATCAACGAAAGGAAGCGCAACCGAGAAAACACTCGCGAGCCAAATTGACTTCATCACAAATAACCCGCCCAAGATTGCGCTGCCGAAGCTGCGCTCGCTGCAGCAATCCCTCCGGCGACATCGCCCTTTGAGCTACCCAAACCAATCTCGAAGCTATCATAACCACAGCTGGTGGGCGCGCCAGCTTCAGAACCGTCTAAGCCAGGGACGATCTGCCAGTACAACTACAATGTACGTCAGTATGCGTTTCATCAGATATTCACAGCTGTTATGCTTACCCAAGGAACTCCAGCATCATTGAACACTTGAACCTGCGTATCGAAAGAGTCCTGGTAGTCGACCGAGACGCCCCACTCTTCCATCATGATGTTCTTGCCTGCAGCCCTCGCTCCGCTCAAGACCTCCCTATCGCCGGTGATGTAGTACGCCCAGTCAGACGCCTTGCTCATGTATCCGTGCATGCTGATGATGTCGATGGCATCGCACTGCATAGCCTTCTCCAGCGTATTGAACTCGTGGTTACAGCAGTAGTGAGAGCCGCCGACACCGCCTGTGGCAACCTTGATGTTGGAGGATCCAAGAGCACTGCGCAGTGCTCCAGCACGGCCACACAGCCAGTCGTCCGGGTCGTTGGCGTTCAACAGGTCGATTTGCCCAATCAGCGGCTCGTTCTGTAGGTCGAAAGCCATGATGACCTCTTCCATATCTTTCCAGGCTTTGCCAAAGTTTGGTGACTGGTAGTTTAGCATCTCGCTGAGTCTGTTGTCGTAGTCGGCTTTGGCGTTGGATGAAGAGTAGAAGGTAGGTGCGTCGCCATACTTCTGACAGTATGCATCGCACCCTGCGCTACCGCCCAGTGTATTGGCGTTGTGGGGAGATATGATTGCCTTCATACCGTTGTCGTGCAGTAGTTTGAGAGTGTCGTCGAGCTTATCTAGAACGGTGGTATCGTACACACCAACCGTCGCTTCGAAAGCTGGCACGTCATTCTCGATAGTACTGCCCTTCAAGCACCCTGTAGCAACGTTCGTCGCTGCACAACGATTGTCAGTACTGCAGATATCCCCTCAAGTCCACTGCTAAGAGGATGCAGAATTATTCCAAAGGTGTTCATAACTGTTCAAATGCTACTTACCCCACAGCCTCAGGACCTTGGCGCCCCATCCAGCAAGAGTTTCAACATACTCCTTCTGCTCGGATGCAGAAAGGGCATGAAGAAAGTACTCATTACTTCCTGCGAATGAAGTTGAAGCTTGCCTGCGAGTTGGTACCAAACCGTTGACTACCGTTGTCGATAGCCCCAGCAAGGAAGTGATAGCCATAAGGCTGCGCATCGTGAAAGTTGGTGGTGCGTAGATGTATACGATTTATAAACAGATGTGGGTAGTAATTGGTGAGTAATTTAGTCTTTGCATGCCAAAGACTATATATGCCATGGTGGCCATCCAGGTCAACCTTGCGAGGGGCCGAATACAGTTGAATGCGCCTGTGTTGATGGTTTGGAGACATATGGGGCCAGCCTTGCCAGCCACGTTCGCCGTGGCATCACCTCAAATTACCAGCTAATTTTATCGCATCGAAAGTTTACGGGTGAGCTAGCCTTGATTGTGGTGGCTGTCTGTGACAGCTGCGGGAGTGTACCCACGGACGCTGTGCATGCAGCTGGGCCGCCCCAAAGGCCGCCCCTATTGGCCCGATCGAAACTCTAGAGATAAATGGCGACGCACCCGCCGGATTCAGTCAATGGCAGGCACCGAAGAGAACGCCATGTTCTCACCCGTCACTATCAGACCCCGATCATTTCTCGTTCGGCGTCGTTGCTGCTGCACAATTCTTCAGCCTTGCCGGTGTGTTGAGGTGAAAGTCTATTTATGCGTACGTGGGCGTCCAATCAGAGTTCAGCCGTCTCGGGTTCAAGTATGTGCATACACATGCCCGTGCTATCACATCAAGACATCCATTTCCAGCGAAGGAAGGCTGGGGTAATTTGCGACATGTGCGAAAACGCCCTGCGTACAAGATACGCCGGTCCGCTGCCAACCCAGCTTTCTCCACAACTCTTCCCTTAGCCTTCCCGCTGTGAAAAAAGAAGGCTTGTATCGATTTATCTCCCCAATAAGATACGCTAGCATACACCAAGATGTTTGGCAGCCGAGGCTTTCCCGCTCTTGCTTTTCTCCTAGCCCTGGTCAGCGTAGCAGGCGCTAGTGGTCCTACGAGTATCTTCATTGATCAGATTGAAGAATACAAGCTCCTCGCAACATGTGCCGAGCTCGAGTTGTCGACTATCGTGCGTAACATGAAATGGGGGTGTGGGGATGGCGGCTCATACCAGTCGTTTACTTGCTGTAAGTTGACATTATGAAACAAAGCTTGCGTCTGCGACATGCGCTGACCTCGTAATTTCCGTCTCATAGTCTGTTACGAGAGCTCTGCCAAGTTCTCCAGCATGATTGGAGCTCATGTCATGACCCAGTGTCCAGATGACCCTTCGCAAAACACGACGGCGCTGGAGGTATTTAGCAGCTACTGTGATATCGGCGGATCTAAGTTGGCTGAAATTTCCGGTGAGTAGTCCCTTGTTCTGAGGTGAGAAAGCGACGAGCTGACATGGCGATAGCGGCTACAACATCGGTGCCAGCAACAACGTCATCGCCATCATCATCTTCAGCGTCTCCAGCATCGACGCTACAATCGGCTTTCTCAACTCCCACCTCGACAACACCTATCTCATCACTTGAGCCCACTACGTCACCTGAGTCGACGCCTGCTCCCAAGAATACCTCTCGGAAAGTCGCGATAGCCACAGGTATCACTGTTCCGGTAGTCGTCCTAGCTTCAGCCTTCGCGGCCTTCTTCTTGTTCCGCCGCTACAGGAATACGCATAGTAAACCTGAGCTGTATGAAGCCGACGGTTCTTCCTTGGACGCATCAAGGGGTGGCACATGTCATGAGGTGAGTGAGAAAGGGCAAATTCCCGCAGAACTGGCAGATCACGATCGCCACGATCCTCACGAGTTGGATGCTCAAAGCGATAGTAAGGTTTGATGAAACGCGTCTTTAGTGGATGCAGTCTTGTGGAACTCCAGTTAGAAAGTTGGCATGGTCTCGAGTAAAGATCGCTTGAACGATTTGCTATGTTCCGCGTTAGTGCAACAGTATGGCAACAGTATGGGAGTCTCTTAGCGAAAATTAGAAGAACGCATCGTCAAGCTGCGCCCATGCTTCGTGACTAGTACAACTCTTCCAAAACTTTGCCCAAAGATCGATGTACGAAGTCAGTAAATGGCTCGCAACATTTCGTACACGAATATACCTATGTGAGAAGGTACCAGAAGTTTGTTTGTCCGTTGAGGAGGATATCAGGTGAGTTTCCTTTCATCCAGTCCTATAAACAGTCCGGGTGGCTTCAGGAAGCCGTGTATGTGTCCAAATTCGATCGTTGTAAGATGCGGTTCCGCAGATATCCTTCGGACCGGGCGGTAACATCTAGATGCACTGCATTTGCGCATGTTGAGACACCCAAATTTCCATGCACCACTGAAACGGCTAGGCGACGATCCGATCGTCGGGTTTAGTTGGTCCCATGTGATGCGGATGAGTGCATACTAAGCACGCTTGAAGCTTGCGACTCTGAACACGAGTCATTGACTCTGTACGTGTTCGCATGGTGAATACTACCACTTGGATGCGACTTGAAGTCGAAAGCGATTCCAATGCAGCTCCACGAATGAAAGAACCATGATGCGGCCACTTTTAGAGTAGAATCCTGACAACTCCAATATTTGTTCTGTTCGAATTACCAAAATCGGCAAGCCGGCGTTCCCTTCGGCATCATGTTCGCCTTGACAGAACGGTGTTATGCGGGGTACCGGGGTAGCTGTATCTACCCCGCAAACTAGACATTCGGAGAGCAACCGTATCGATCGCCTGTGCGTGGCGTTGCCGCGGAGTGTTTCCGCATTCAGACACATCCAGTACCAGGCCTTAACACGCGACATCTCCGTTGATTCCCTTAGGGCGTCCGGTCGGATGGGATACTAGAGGAGATCGACATGGTCTCGAAACGTTACTGGAGTGTGGCAGCGTCCACAGGCGAAACGCAATTCGCCCTGGTTATCGGGCGCGAGACGGTGGCAGGATCGCGAATAGCGCGGCGGTCATGCAGGATCCGCCCAGGAGGGGTATGTCGTACGTTGACGTATATATAGAGACTGTATCGCCCACGATGTGTCTATCCAAAGGATCGACAGTGACTTTCCAGACTCACAACCTCCTCTTCATTCAAGAAACACTCCTCCCACAATGGTCCACTTCCGGACAGACATCGGTGCGACGAACGAAGCGGCGGATCCGAATAACGAGAACTATGCAAAAGAGCTCGAGACCGATGTTGTGATTGTAGGCGCCGGTTTCGGTGGCGTCTACCTGATGCACAAACTCCGCCAGCAGGGCTTCAAGTGCAAAATTATGGAGGCTGGTTCCAACATTGGTGGTATCTGGCACTGGAACTGCTATCCCGGAGCTCGGGTCGACTCCCAGGTCCCCATCTATGAATACAGTATGCCTGAGATTTGGAAGGTATGTGACAATCTTGTCGTATCGCTGTACGATGACTGACATTGGCGGATAGGACTGGAATTGGTCCTGCAGATACCCCGGTACGGAAGAGCTCCAGCAGTATTTCGACCACGTCGAGCGAAAGCTGGATATCAAGAAAGATTGCGCATTCAACACCAGGGTTGTCGAGGCTCAGTTCGACAAACCCTCGTCGAGATGGGTCGTGAAGACCGAAGATGGCCGGACAGCGCGCTGCAAATATTTCCTTTTGGCTCTGGGCTTCGCGGCGAAGCGTCATTTCCCCGACTGGCCAGGAATGGACAAGTTCGAGGGCGAGATCCATCACAGCTCATTCTGGCCAGCATCTGGAGTAGACGTCAAGGGCAAACGTGTTGCCGTCATTGGCACTGGGTCGACAGGTGTTCAGATCGCCCAGGAGACATCGAAGACGGCCGCCAGTATAACCCAATTTGTTCGCACGCCCAACCTTTGCCTCCCGATGCAACAGAAAGCTCTCACGAAGGAGGAGCAGGACAGACGGAAGCAGGGCGAGTACCAGGAAATCTTCAAGAAAAGATTGACAACGTTTGCTGGCTTCCAGTACGACTACATCGAGAAGAACACATTCGACGACTCACCCGAGGAGCGCGAGGCATTCTACGAGAAGATGTGGGAGAACGGTGGTTTCGAGTTCTGGCTGGTAAGCGATAGATGTGAAGCCCTTACATCAGCAGACACTTACTGTGATCGCAGGCAAACTACAAGGATCTGTTGTTCGACAACAAAGCCAACCGCGAAGCCTACAACTTCTGGGCGAAGAAGACGCGAGCCCGGATAACGGATCCTGAGAAGCGTGAAATTCTTGCGCCTCTGGAGCCACCGCATGCCTTTGGTACCAAGCGACCGAGTCTGGAGCAGAACTATTACGAGATGCTCGATAAGCCCGAGAACAAGGTCATCGACGTGAACAAGAACCCGATCAAGGAGGTTACTGAAAAGGGTATTGTGCTGGCTGACGGTACTCTACACGAGTTCGACGTCATCGCCCTTGCAACCGGCTTCGATTCAGTAACAGGTGGTATGAAGAACATGGGACTGAAGGATGTCGACGGTGTTGAGCTGTCAGAAAAGTGGAAGAACGGTACCTACTCGTACCTGGGTATGAGCCTGAGTGGTTTCCCGTAAGTTCTCAAGTGCTTCCAACTACTGCAGATACTGACTGGACTGCAGCAACTGCTTCTTCCTCTACGGTGCTCAGGGACCGACGGCGTTTTCCAACGGACCCACGTGCGTTGAGGTTCAGGGAGACTGGATCGTCGATGCCATGGTCAAGCTTCGAGAGCAAGGCATCAACTACTGTGATGCCACACACGAAGCAGAGAAGGAGTGGCGGGAGAAGATCACCGAGCTCTCGGACAAGACACTGTTCCCGCAGACCAAGTCATGGTACATGGGTGACAACGTGCCGGGCAAACTCCGAGAGCAGTTGAACTTCGCCGGCGGGTTCCCACTGTACAGCGAAATGACGCGAAGTGCACTGGACAAGGGCTTCGAGGGCTTCATTACTGCGTAGATATCCACTGGCGAAGGAAGGGGCCGTTTAGCCTGTTGTAATTAATTGTATATCAATCATCTGCTTTCAACAACTGTCCCGATTCCGTCGTGTGCGTCAGGTACTGCGGTGAAGGCAGGAAGTAGCCTCAACTAGTGCGACATGCCATCAATGTACTGATCGGGACTGCACGTGCAGGAAAGGAGCAAAACTTTGGAAATGGACCGCATGGCTCTGGCGTGGGGGATATGCGATGTGACGGGCGAGGTGGGAGGAGAGGGGCAGCGTGGCGTGGGTGGCCGCGGAGGAGCCCGCGGGCAGCAGATCAGAGATGGCCTGATCGGCGTCACATGGAATTTACGCCGACCGACGTCACGACGGGCGCCAGGTCAAGCAGCGCACTGCTACCTGCCTTATGGAAGCCGCACGCGCATCTGCCCACCACCCGGTACCATGAGGACGGCGTTCCTTTTTGGTCGCCAATGCTGTCGCCCAGGCCTGCCCAAACTCGCAACCCGCGCCTTCACGCGTCCATTCACCGCCGCCTCCCGCTTCCGCCGACAATTTGCGACTCCAAACTTCAAAGGCCGAACGATACTATGGTCCGGTGCAGCTGCCGGAGCTGCGGGCGGCGCGATACTCAGTCCACTTGCCTTCGTCGACGTCGCCAATGACAAATCCGGCCATGGAGAGAAGACGCATGAGGAAGCCATGCTCGAGGCGTCGCGGAAGGAGCTCGACGAGCAGGTGCCCCACGCGCTGAGGCACTCTACAAAGTATAGGCGAGGCATATATTTCTTCGTCGAGGACTACATAATCGAGCCCATAGCCACCGGATTCCGCTTCCTCCACCTCATCATCATCTTCGTGCCGGTCATCGTGACAATACCTGCGATATGGCTTGGTTCACGACAGCCGGATAGAGACAACGAGCGGAGTGGCACATTATGGTGGTATGGCTTCTTGGTTGGCTCTATGGAGAGGGCTGGTGCCGCCTTCATCAAGGTGCGTGCCGTCACGTTAGACTCAGAAGATATCAAGTAGACTGACTCTATGATAGCTCGGACAATGGGCTGCCTCCCGAACAGATGTCTTTCCAACCGAGATGTGTTCAATCATGTCGACCCTCCACTCCAACGCCCCGGCGCACACATTACAAGTCACGAAGCGAACGATCGAGGCGGCTTTTGACGGACAGAGCTTTGACGACATCTTCGAGGAGTTCGACGAGAAGCCATTGGGTGTTGGCGCAATAGCACAGGTATACAAGGCGAAGCTGAAGCCGCACCTTGCGACTCTGGAAGACAACAGCATCGACCGAGAGGAACTCAATCTGGCGCGGCGGATCAAGAAGAATGTCGATGTGACGCTCAAGAGCTCACCCTCGAGGGTACCATCTAGCCATGTTGCCATCAAGGTTCTGCACCCCAACATTGAGAAGATCGTCCGGAGAGACTTGCGCATCATGGGCTTCTTCGCGGCTGTCATCAACGCTATACCCACGATGGAGTGGCTGTCGTTTCCCGACGAGGTGGAACAATTTGGCGAGATGATGAGGCTGCAACTGGATCTGCGCATCGAAGCCGCGAATCTCACGCTCTTCCGACGTAACTTCAAGGACCGGACGACAGCCTGGTTCCCGTACCCTTACACTGACTACACCACGCGTAATGTCCTTATCGAGGAGTTCGCCCAAGGCATCCCCATGGAAGACTTTCTACAAAATGGAGGCGGAGTGTTCCAAAAGGACATTGCAGACGAAGGATTAGATGCGTTCCTCACCATGCTCCTCATCGACAATTTCATCCACGCCGACCTACACCCGGGAAATATCATGGTTCGTTTCTACAAGCCTGAGCAGTTGGACGTCTCAATATTCGCCAAGAAGGAGGACCGGACGACCGGCCCCAAAGAGTCGCTTGATGTTACTGAAGAGGTACTCGAGCGTCTGCGACCACACAAGAAGAACCCGAAGCAGTGGAAAGCGAAGTTGCAGGAGATTGACAACGAGGGTTATCGACCACAGCTCATTTTCATCGACACAGGTCTTGTAACGGAGCTCAATGCGAAGAACCGCGCCAACTTCCTTGATCTCTTCAAGGCTGTCGCCGAGTTTGATGGTTACAAAGCAGGTCATCTCATGGTTGAGAGGTGCAGACAACCAGACGCAGTACTTGACGGGGAAGTTTTTGCTTTACGCATGCAACATCTGGTGCTCGGAGTCAAGAGCCGTACTTTTGCTCTCGGCAACATCAAGATTGGAGACATTCTCAACGAGGTTCTTTCCATGGTACGAACACATCATGTTCGCCTTGAAGGCGACTTTGTCAATGTCGTTCTTAGCATCCTCCTCTTGGAAGGTATCGGAAGGAGTTTGAACCCTAACTTGGATCTCTTCGCCGGGTAAGTGATATTACAACGTGCATCTAGCCATCTGCTAACGTAACCAGTGCTCTACCAATACTGCGACAACTTGGTGCACAAAGTGGCTCGTCGATGATTCGTGGAGGCGACTTTTCGATGCTCAAGGTTTGGGTTGGTCTTGAGGCGCGCAGCTTCTTGCAGGCCTCCATTGATACGGTATGCAACATGACACATGTGTTGCGCTGCATCACTAACAATATCTTAGGTCGAGCGATACGTCAAATCCGATCAACTATCACCCAATGTATAATAGGAAGACGGGCGGTTGTCTATTACGTGGGATTCCCTTCGTTGTTAATACTTCCACACGTGTGTTAGCAGTTGTGACTGGCTGGGATGAAGGGCGAAGGCTGTGCTTGGAACTGCGAAGCAGCGGTACAGTGCATTGTCGTCTGAAGGTATTGATCTATAATGCGCAGACACGGCGGAAGCTCTGAATCTGTAGACAGCTTTGTTTTTTGTTTGGCTTGCCGTGAAGGGTACGCGTAAGGGCGACAAGGGTCTCGCGTGATGACGTCACCCTCGTGTTAAGCTTCACAGCTACAACGCAATACAACATCCCTCCTCTCAATCACACTACACTTTTCACTCGTATTAGTTGAACTTTCGACATATCCGCTTCTCAAATTGCTCATTCGAACCCCACAACCCCCATTCACCCGAATATAGCTCTTTCCTGAGCAACGATGGAAGCCGGAGCAGCCGGTGTGCTCTACGCAGCCGAGAACCTCCTGGAGGCCGGTGTAGCTCTCGTCAAGGGCATAACTCATCCGACATTGCCGATCAAGGCAAACCTCACGCGCATATCCTCCGTCCCGCTCCCTCGCTCGCATCACACGGTTTCGGTAGTCAAAGGCCGCGCATACATCTTTGGTGGAGAGACGGAAGCTGGCAACCTCGCAGACAATGACATGCACGTTGTCATCTTGCCGTCGAGCGGTGTTCTCGACGCCGACTACACCAAATACTCAGCCCGCGCGGCAAATGGCCTGGACGATGTACCGAACTCGAGAAGAGGACACACGGCTGCGGTCATTGGGGACAGCATCTACATGTTTGGTGGCGAAGGAGATGGTGTAACAGATGAGAAGGGGCGGGTCTGGGTTTACGATACGATATCAAACACCTGGACCTATCTTGATCCAGCTGAGGGCACGCTGTTTCCCAGCCAGCGAACTGGCCACGCTTCGGCGAGCTCAGACCTCCCAGGCCCCAAGACGACGACGTACGTTGAGAAGGCACCGCAAGCCCCCGCCGATCCTGCGAAACACGTTCCCGAGCCGCCAGAAGCAAATTCATACGGAACCATCTTCGTGGTTGGAGGGCGCGAATGTTCGAGCAGCAATCTTGCCAACGATGCACTTGCGTTCGACGTCAAGACACGAACGTGGACCAACATACCTTCCCCATCAGGTCAGCCTCGGGATGGTGCAAGCCTCGCGCTCGTTGGCAGTCGCCTCTATCGGTTTGGTGGAAAGGGCATCGAGACATTTGCGTCAGGTGCGACCGAGTACGTGGACGCATCACATGTGTGGACACATGCAGAGCGCGGGACTACACCAGGTAATTTCTGACTGTACGAAGTGCATGTGAGACATATACTGACTTCGTACCTCTACCTCTGCAGTGACTAGTGGGTGGGGCTGGGAAGAAGTGAAGCACACCGAAGGTAGCACCGCTACAGCACCGCAGGCGCGCGCAAATGCAGGACTTGTGGGCGTCACCACAGGGCAAGGGCGACACTACTTGCTAGCTGTCGGCGGAGAGACTGAGAACGGAGATTACCTCGACGACATATGGGCACTGCAGCTCGCACCCGAGCGCTCCACGGCCGCAGCGACTAAGGATAACATACGCGCGGGTTTGAAGAGAGATACGCATGAATCGCAATGGGCTGAGGCGATATATCGATACGTAGACACAAAAGGCGAAGAGGAGAAAGAGATCCCAGGAAAGCCAAAGCGAGGCCTCGGAGCGAGGGGCCACTTCGGCATCGCCAAGGGTACAGAGGTCGACGGCGCGACGTGTGTAGTCTGGGGTGGAGTCGATGCGAACGGCAGTATACTAAATGACGGTTGGATGATTACTGTTGACAGGTAGTCCGTCACGTTGTGCGCTCATGGATATAAATGAAGAACTTGGCCGACACGCGTCTGCGACCAACAATGCCTGGCTGTCCAGCACGTGGCAAACCTATGGATCATCACCACTTCTTGCTCTCCACCATACCAGACTGTTCTTGTCTTTCTGACTTTCTAGCTTCCACTCTTGTGTGTGCGCATGACTTTGGGCGAGGATTTCGCACTATCTCAAGCGCCTTGCCGTTGATAGTGCCGTGGAACAGACGCTTGGAGCAAGTATCGGCGCTGCCATGCGCGACCAGGGCAACCGAAACCCCAACAACCTGTCGAAGCCACGCTGCACCACATGTCACCTCGCCTTGGTGGTCTTCGCGCAACGCATTGGATGCTGTCAAGCGGAGTTGGTGCCTTGTAACCATTATCTCGTGGCCGTCGCGATCTTGTTGGTGGGTGGGTACAAAGGTGAAACAACAGAGCTGGCCCAATCAGGAAAGTGGCAGCAACAACACCGCTCTTCCCATTTGATGAAGCAAGTACCCGCTTACAGCGATATAGACAGCCCTGCGAGGGTTTGGGACCTGTTTTAACAGCCACTAGCTACCATCGAGTGGCTGACAGCGGCACGAGGCCTGTAATGACGGGAGGGCCGACCCAGTAGAGTGCCGTTAGTCGACAGGACAGGGCCTGGGGCTTCTAGGCGCTATGCATCCGTTTTATAGGTCATGGGGAGGATGGGGGTTAAGTATATTGCTTGCCCGGGGGCTTGTGCGAGCGACCGAACCCAAAGACGAGTTTACGGGTTACGCTGCGGGTGAAGAGCGCGTACAACAGCAACGGCTGCAGCCAGCTCATTACAATCTTTCGAGGAGCAAAGAAGATTCGGAAGAGTTGTCAATCATGGGTTGGGGTAAGTCACTACCAAGCCGACTGTGCAGATGTACGAAAAGCGCTAAACATATTATGCATCGATAGGTGGAGACTTGACACTGGTGAATGGTTCGCCATTCAGTTGGACCTTGAATGGCCAACACTCGTATCAAATGGATACATGGAAATGGCCAACAATCAACGCTGGTATGTATATCCTTAATCGAAAGGAATACCCCCACTAACCACGCAAAGGCCAGGCATCAAGAGTATACGTCGAGTTTGGGACGAGAGGAAACACCCGCGACGATGCAGGCGAGGCATACTACAGCATTGAAGGAACATCAGATAGGTTTACCGTACTCGGACGGAAGCCTTCGGACTATGCACTCACCATATCTCTGGATGACATGTCGACAAAGCAGAGTTCGAAAGGAGCGAAGGTCGACCTGGGATTCCGGCACAATGCGGCTGTAAACTGGATCATGTCCACTGACGAGGCAGGAACCTGGTGGTCAAATAGCGGTACCTACGCAGATTGGATGCAGCAAAGCATGGGTTCGCTGGCAAACAGAACGCTAAAACACATCTGCATGCCAGGCTCCCACGACGCTGGTATGGGCACATTCAAGCCGGGTACCATCGGCGCACACTTTGCCAACACTCAGACCCAGTATCTGGATTTCTACCAGCAACTCGAAGCCGGCTCACGGTATTTCGACCTCCGCCCAGTGCTCTCAAGAGGCGAATGGGTAGCTGGTCATTACGGCCAAGTCGGCGACATCTGGCTCGGTGGAAACGGACAGTCTCTCGCAGAAATCATACAGCAGATCAACGACTTCACCGCGAAATACCAGGAACTCATCATCATAAATCTCAGCCATACGCTCGACACAGACAACCAGTACAAAGACCTCACGCAAACGCAATGGAACGATCTCTTCACAACACTAAAGCGCATCAACAATCGCTACACCGTCAGCAACCCCAGCGCCACAGATCTCTCCATAAACCGCCTAGGTGACTTCATCACAGATCGCGCCTCCGTTCTCATCATCGCGCAGATACCAGATGATGTGACATTAGGCGACTTTGCATACCAAGGATTTTACTCGGGCCGCAACTTTCCTTTCTACGACGAATACAGCAATAGCAACAATCTTGCTAATATGAAGAGCGACCAGCTAGCCAAGCTGAAGCAGAACCGGAATATCGTCGCGGAGCAAAGCCAGAGGAAAGACATGTTCCATATTTTCTCATGGACGTTGACGCAACAACCGGAGGATGTGTTGATCTTTGATAAAGCCATTATGTTCGTTCCCCTGTACCCTTCTCCGTCTACAAATGCAAGCTTTCTCCGGACACTAACATACCATTAGGAATATGGCGGCCTCCGCTTTCGACGACCTGATAAGCGAGACGTGGAACGCCTTCACACCGCAAAGCTTTCCAAACGTGTTGTTTGTAGATAGTCTAGGGGTCAGGGATAAGAGTGTTGTTTTCCCGTTCGATAAGCCAAAGCAAGGGCTACCAACGAACTCCGATATCGCTGCGTTTGCTGTGGCGGTGAATAATGGGATTGCGGGGAGGAATGGGGTTGTGACTGGGCGATGATAGGGAATGGATGGAGATGTCAAGAGAGTCTTGCATGTCATGATCGAGAAGATACGACGAATCGATACTTCACGTGTGCGATGAATCATGAGTGATCTCATTCCCGACTCTGCTGGTTCTCCTGGTGAAACTCGGCTGTTGGCCATCTACCCAGCCGGCATGAGATGTCGTTGTGCGAGGGACGATCTGTATGGGTACCTAGTATGCCATACACAATCCTTTAGATTGTTGGCCAATGCTTTTGCGTAGAGTTGGCTCGTTCGCCTGATCGAACCGAACTATTGGTATTGTAGGATGAGGAAAGGTTCGGAAAAGTGGAGGTTCTGATAACCAGATCTTTCTCCCGTCTCAGTGGCTTCACGGCCTAGCATTCGAGATGTCGAGAGGCATATCGAACTCGCTTGTATCAGTCTATGATGCATTTGCGCATGAGGATATGTATGACTGGAACAACGATGCGTAGATTGTGAGCATCCATTTGGCGTACTCTTCGTCAGGCCTTCCTGGCATGGTTGGCCTGGTGTGCGCTCTGAAGCGAGATGGTCGCCACAAAATGTTGATAGGAGGCGCAAAAGTCGGTCAAACAGCCATAGTGGATACAGGTAAACGATTTCCGCTCTCTTCTTTCCTGATCGCATCTCGATCTCGGCTGGACGTTACAGTGATCTACATTTGGAATACTGATCATCGCTTTTTCGTGCAGGTACCCGTCGTCGAGGATCTGCGACTGATCAGCAGCGGGGTGCCAACCCTCTGTGCGACAACCAAGTGTGCCGTTCGCGCAGGTTACCGATGCTTGCTTATGGGCATAGAGCAATGTTTGGTTCGATCATCGCCTAATAGTTCAGACATCGTACGACAGAAGGAGGCGCTGGCGGAAGAAAGCATCTATGTTAGTGGAGAGAAAAGGAAGGTGTCTCCTAGCACGTCAGATGCTCAGTTGGACTCTGACCCCTGAAGCGTCATGCAGGTTGACTTTCCAAAGCTACAGCCATCATGCTCATCCTGCAATACGAGTACTTGCGGAACTACGGCATGCGCCAAGTGCCATGGGATGGAGTGGGTGCTTGTTCTTGCTTAGCAAGAGAAGCGATACGGGTGGTGGACGCCTTGCTTCTCCACATAGTTTGCTTGGCTCAACCGCCCCTTGAGGATGCTTGATCGGACGTAAGAGGAGAAAAAGTATACAAAACGGCAGTCAATATTGACTGTTCGGATAGTTAACCGTGCTATCCGATTGTTGCCATTTTGGCAGGGTAAATTACTAACTCCGAGGTGGAGTACAGTGATTGTCTGAGTCGAACAAGGGTCGAAAGTGATCCTTGAGATCCCAGCTCGCGCGGCGTCGGGAAGTGGAAGTTTTCGATTCGCGACCGGTAGTCTACCTGTCGCTGTACTGGCCACAAACGATCATCGCAGCCGTTGAATGCAGTAGACCTAAGATTTGCTAAGGATCGGTCGTGCTGTTGCTTACTCCTCCGCACGAGAAGGGTTTGTCTATCGCAATCTCGTTTCGTCGAGTCAAGCGATCGGGACGAGGCTGAAGAACCTAGTCATCTCAGCAAAAGCTTGTCTCATAACAGAAAAGCAATATATTAAAATAGACTCGGTCTTTATTCCTTGCGATATTCCCGAGGCATATACAGCTCCATTTCTGCATGCCATGGTGGAGTGGAGGTTTTGGAGTTGCTGCCTGAATCAGACGTGCGAGTGGTTAGCTGCATGAAAACGAAGAGGGATACGAGGTCTTCCCGTGCCCCTTGAATCCAATTGCATCGTCGCAAGAGTTTCTGTATCCTGCGCGGCTTGCTACAGTGGTTGCGTGCTGCACGCCACCATCATGTGGCATAAAATTTCTGCGCCGGTAAGCAGTAGTAGTTCGTGATGAGTATTGATAAATCGAGACGTGTGTTGGCGGAAGCAAGCATGCTGTATAGTGCTGAGGGTGGGAGCGCTTAGATGGGCCTCGCTTGACGGCGCACGTGATTGGCTCATCTTGGCCATCGGAAAGCCCACTCGACTCCAATTTTCCTCGGAAGTGCGGGTGCCTGGGCCAGAAGGGCCAGAAGAGACATCCTCCACCGCAGCGGAATTGCGCATCATGCTACCTTTCGCGGCCGAATCTTCATGCAATTGCAAGGCTGTGCGACAGAGACTCGGACTTAAAGGTCTACTTACACGATGGCTTGTTGGTGATGCGGGGTGGATCTCTTATCCCGAACAAGCTCCCTCCAAGAGATGTAACCGTCGGTTGGGCGTGCTCGGCAGCTGTTGCCAATGCGCCAGTGCAGGTCGATGCTTTCGTGGCTCGACGCCATGGCTGAAGGGCCGTCTACTGAGTGCGGCACCGTCAGACCGTCAGACCGATGGAAGACGTCACATTGTCTCGCCCGTGGGGTCCTCCAACAGCTAAGTGATAATTTTCTAGCGTCTCACAGCAACATCATCGCAACGTGTTGAACAGCGACCGCGCGAAACCGATATGCGCCAAGCAACTGGATAGTGACAGGCGGCAGTGGAGACCGGCTGCTTGAATCACTCGATGTTTCGAGCAATTACCGGTCGACAGCCGTCACGTCAGAGGCGTTCAAGAATAACATTTCGGATGGCACTGATAGCAAAACACGTTTCAAACGGCTCGGATCAACAATCACGTTCTATTTTCGCTCCACGACGTGACAGCAATGCGGTTCCTGCATGGCAAAGGAGCGCGTGCCACCAACAACCCATGAGGAAAGCTCCCAATCGCGCATCATGTCCGCCCGAAGCGAAGCCGGCGCCGCGGGTCGAGAGCTTGAATCTGCCAGTGCCAGGGGCCCGCGGCACACCAAGCTTTCTTTTCTACGCTGACCGGCATCTGCAGGCAAGAGTCGAGAGCGCTAGTCGTAACGCGAGTCAACCTTAGCACCAGGCCTTTACGGGGATTGCTGGCTAACCGTCGATCATTCTTACCCTTCATAAGATGATTCTACCCGCATGCCGTGATGACTTTTCTTGGTACCTTCTGTTCGAAGTCCTAATCTTACTTTCTTGTGATCCGTCTTTCGTTCCGGTCCAAGGTCCTTCAGTGTGTCGTCGTTGTTGACTACCACTATCCACTCGCTCATCTCTTAATCCGACTATCAGAACAACTTTAATTCCGTAATTCGAACCGACCGCATTCTTACAACATGCACTACTCCGCGGCTCTCGCTGCCGTTGCAGCCATCACTCCTCTCGTCAACGCCCATGGCACCGGTCTGCCCAACATCATTGGCTTGAACCCAAGGGACCTCCGGGCCCGCGACCTACTTTCTCGCACTGGAGCTCGATTCACCGGAGTTAACGAGCTTCTGCAACCCAAGACTCAGGTCAAGAACAAGGTCGTGGCCCGTCAGGACGACCGCCAGTGTGGTGCGGGTGTCGGCAACTGCCCCGCTGGCCAGTGCTGCTCAGGTGCTGGCTACTGTGGCACAGAAGATGACTACTGCTACTCTCCTGGATGCGATTACGAGCACGGCTCTGGCTGCCCCGAGAACGCCACCCCAGGTGGCACCAACACCTCTTCCATCGCCCGTACCAAGGTCGGCAATGTCGAGTACGGTGGCGCTGGTATCTACGGCTGCACCACGCCCGGCACAGTTGCCATCACCTACGACGACGGCCCACAAAAGGTCTTCACCAGCCACATTCTCGATGTCATGGCTTCCTACAACGCCAAGGCTACTTTCTTCATCACTGGAAACAACATCAACAAGGGACAGATTGACATCACTCCCGAGTTCAGCAGTGTTCTCAAGCGCATGGACTCTGAGGGCCACCAGCTTGCTTCTCACACCTGGACTCACTTGGACCTGAGCGCCGTTTCCCAGCAGGACCGTTACAACCAGATGATCAAGAACGAGATGGCTCTTCGCAACATCGTCGGCAAGATCCCCACCTACATGCGTCCCCCATACTCCAGCTGCACTGCTGAGTCAGGATGCGAGAAGGACATGGCTGACCTCGGTTACCACGTCACATACTTCAACCTTGATACCGTATGCACTTCCTTGATCTCTTGAAAGGGTTCAATTGCTGACACTAGGAACAGGATGATTACGAACACGACAGCACCACCCTCATCCAATACTCCAAGGATGTTTTCCTGGGCAACGTCACCAGCGGTCCCGCCGCCAGCAACCAGTGGCTCGAGATTGGTCACGATATCCATGAGCAGACTGCCATGAACCTGACCGAGTACATGCTCTCCACCCTCACTCAGCTCGGATACAAGGCTGTTACTGTTGGTGACTGCCTTGGTGACCCCAAGGAGAACTGGTACCGCACTGCTGGTGGTGCCGGCTCTGGCAACGCGCCCAACCCCGCCACTTCTGCCGGTGCTCCCGCTGCCACTGGAACCAAGCAGGTTACCCCTGATGCTACTTGCGGTGGTACCAAGGGATACACCTGCTTGGGATCTACCTTCGGCAACTGCTGCAGCGCTGCCGGATACTGCGGTACCACTTCGGCCTACTGCGGAACTGGCTGCCAATCTGGCTTCGGTAACTGCGGCAGCAACGGTGTTGCCCCTACCACCACCACCACTAAGGCTGCTACTCCTACCAAGGCTACTACCTCCAAGGCTCCCGTCGCCTCTGCTGCTGGCAAGGTCTCCACCGATGGCTCATGCGGTGGTGCGTCTGGCTTCACCTGCGCTGGCTCATCCTTCGGTAACTGCTGCTCCCAGTACGGCTGGTGCGGAAGCACTACTGACCACTGCTCCACTGGCTGCAACTCTGCCTTCGGTACCTGCTCTGGCACTGGAGCGTCCGCCACTAAGCAGGCCGCTACTACTACCAGCAAGGCCGCTGCTGCGCCCACCAAGAAGGCATCTACTGACGGATCCTGCGCTGGAACCTCTGGCTTCACATGCTCTGGCTCCTCTTTCGGAAACTGCTGCTCCCAGTACGGTTGGTGCGGAAGCACCACCGGCCACTGCGGTGCTGGCTGCCAGGGTACTTTCGGTACCTGCAACTAAGTTAATCGATTGGTGACTTTCCCTTTCTGTTCCGTTAGAAATAATGCGCCCATATGAGGGGACTGTCTGTACATTTGTATCAACATAGGGCGGAGTTCAGCCTATCAATGACATGACGAGGTCAAAAAAGCAGCGATTCCACGTCCACAACCGTGTTCTCATACAATGAAACTTTTGTACTTCATTAGATTAAAACCACTGCACAAACCTGTATACCAGGTGTTGCGAGTAGGCTGGGGACGACGATTAGATGTAGAGATTCGCGTTATCGAAGCATGAAAAAGCATAAAAACGATCAATACACATCCAACATTCAGTATCTTTTATCTTTTCCCTCATTCGGCCATTCAAGACGAGCTAATCGCAAGATTTGTGACAATGTCGGCTTACTACCACATCACTGGTTCCTGCATCAAAGGCACTGACGATATTTGAGCTGGCCAGCGATTTCATTGAGGAGCGAGTGTGTTTAAACTACCACCAAGGAGATACATGCAAGTTGCTCGTGAGAGCCGTCATCCCAGTCTACACCAGACACTGCAGGTCTAATGTTGATGGACCATGTCCCTCCGAACACTCCATCCTCGTACATTCCTCAACCCGAAATGGGCATCAGAATGTCAGCTATCGTCGTTTACTCGGGGCAAAGGCCGTTCTCGGTCAAGAAGTCGCCGAGAGCATCGACGCACCCAGCGCAGCCGCAGAGCTGAGTCAAGTCAGCGGGAGTGGGAAATGGAAAGACAATGGGAGGAAATACCGAAGGAGCACCACCGGAAACACAGGCAACGACTGCGGCAACGCCAGCGGGTCCGGTTGCAATACCTGCTGCAATGCAGAAAGCGGCACCGACAACAGCAGCGCAGTCGAAGATGCTGCAGTCGGCTTGCTGGGCAGCGAACTGAATGGCACTGGTCATCTGTTGGTTCTCGCGCTTGGCGATCTCGTTGGGAGCGGCGGCAGCGAGGCCAGCAAGGGCGGCAATGGTGATGGTGGAGAAACGCATGTTGATGGGTTGAGGAGGTGTTGAGCGAAAGGCTGGTAATGTAGTGAAGGTAATGATGTTGTGATGTTGAAGCGTGATGAGTACTTTCAGGTCGACTTCTGGCCGTCCTTTATACTTTCTCGTCCTCACCCAGTCCTCTTTCTTTCTTCATCACCGCTGACTTCGACCGGTCAACTCTTCCAGTCCTCTCGGACGCACACAAAGTTATCACTGTCCCGAACTGGATCACTGTCTCGGGGTTGAGAGCCTTCCTGAGCCTATTACCACATAACTGGCTGTCATTTTGCCCACTCAGCGTTCTGCGACTACTCACCGCAGAGCTTGAGTGGCATTCATGAGGTGCACACGGTGTTTCTCGACTGGCAATGACGGTGGTGGTAAGCTGATCGCATCAGGCTTGGAGGTGTTCGGACGTCGAGACACAAAGACAGTGTTCTGGGGGATGACTATGTGCATGCATCAACCGGCATATGGTGTTCGCAGAATAGAACTACTATGATGATTCGTCGTCGTGATGATCTCAAGGACCTTGGCGGGATCAATGTAGTGAAGATCGCCCTAGGTTACACGACAGTTAATATGGCTATATTACTAGCGCTGGCCCGGTCAGACACTTACTAACTTCTTCTCCAGTACATCGTATGTCTTACATCGGCCTGCGGGGGAGGTTCTACTTGCCCCGAAACGGTTGTGGCTGGGGAATCTGCTACCGAAAGCGGCCGAAGTAAGGTTGACCGCACATGCTGGCTGGCCACTCATTGAAGCCATTTGCCCGTACCAGGCGGTCAAAAGAAGATGGGCTGCTTAGTTATCTTGGCTCTCATGCAACCAGCACTTTCATGCAGCCAGCACCCACCTAGGTACCCGCAGCGCCTTCAGCCTCTGCCGTGACTCTAATTCGAATGCCGATCCCATGAAAACAGACTACATCATCGAACTATTTCTATAGTATGCTCGTATAGAATGCGACTTCGCTGTTAATACATTTTTATTGGTAGAGTGAGAGCTAAATTCTTTCTTCGATCGACATTGACATTGCATCCATGAATGTCTTGAACTAAGGTGCCAGGCTACATCATCTTACTCTCGGCCTAGATCTTGGTGAGCACGTAAGGGAAGAGTTGTGTGGAACTACCCTGACGATTAGTGGAGAATGGCAAGTCCCGATGGCATGCGATAGACTGGGCAGTTTCTAGTCTTTGAGTAGTCAGAAACACTGTACTCGCAGAATGAGCAGCCCCACGTGTTCGGCTCGTCGCGCACAACCTATGGTCCATTTGACTCTGTATCCTACCTAGGTAGTCAACAAGGTGTAAGAAGCTGACTTCAAGCGCTCGGTCCACAAATAAGTAAGCAGATCGCATGCGAGAATACGAAAGCACACACCTTTCTTCTAGTCAGCACCTACCCGACGCGGCCGGATAGAGATGATCTCGGAAATGCAAAAATCTGGTTATCCAGAAAATACAGTCCTCCAACTGAGACGGGTGGCAACATCGCTATACTAGGGCCCCACGATACAGTGAAGCGCCCTTCACCCTTCTATATTCGGCTTTCTTACAGTAGAACTACACGTGGAGAGTTGTCTATGTACACACTGCAACATAGGCCATGATAGAACAAGATCTCTAATGCAATACCCAGCTTCGTGAGAAGGAGTTCAGTAGCAGCTAAAGAAGGCCCATTTCCTCACTCTCTTCCTTCCATTGTCTGCATCTATATGTCTTCTACCCTTCTATATACTCTTACACTTTAGATCTAATAATTGACATTTCTTCCTCCACAGCAACACATCCCAGCCAGTGATGTCTTCTCCTCATTGTCTCCATGTCGATCACCTCTTCCGATCGAACCCGAGACGTCAAAAAATGGCCCCAGGTCGATCGAATCTGCTCCCCGTAAGTATAATTGCCTTAGTTTCTCAGCGCATGCTAATAGGAAGCGCAGGTTGACACTCTCGTCCCAGCTCTCCACGGCCCTCCCTCTCACGCCAACCTGAGAAAAACCTAAACACCCTAGAGTCTACATTAACGTCGGGTCACCTACTTTGCGAGTTTCTGTCTCAATATAGTCTGTAGACCTATTCAGCTTTTTCTTGTATAGGGTGCTCGTACAGACCTCGGGACTGATCTGTGCATTACCAGCCAACGAGCTCAATGACGACAACACGAACACCTTCAACTATCAAGTCGACGATCATGCGATGCACGTAGGGACCTTGTAATTCCACCAGGACAGCCGTTACACCCCCAAGCCTCCCGCTCTCGACGTTGAGGACTTTCATCTGACTCACCTAAACCACCCGATGGTCATCCGCGACACTGAGAACTCCATTGAGGAAGTCGGCCAGGATGTTTATGCGCGCTTCCTCTTCTCTGATGACCGCGAACGGGCTATGGGAGGGACCGCCACCGATGCACCTCTCGTCGTCCTCTATACCTCGATCTCCAATGTCACTCATGTTTCCGAGTACCGCGATGCGTACACCATCGAAGGGAAGCAATTCCAAGGCATGGACATATTAGACTGGGATGTGGTTTCGTTCATGGCGGCATACAGAAGGGACGAGTCCGAGACAGTCCAGGAAGTCTACCGAACAATTTACCGAGAGCTTAGAGCCCTTAGGGTTTATGCGTTCTAGGAATCAGGGCTGGGTAGTGCTGGGTGATTCTGGGGTTGATGCTGGAGAGACCTTCATGGAAGGCAGCCGGCACTAAGTACTATTGGACTCAATACACCAACTGCAAGTTCTCTCTTCTGACTTACATGCGTGTGTGATGTACTTTGGTTCAGATGAATTCTGGATATATTGCAGTGGCTAGGTCTTAGCCACCTTTGGCACGTAGCGGCGTCCTTGCCCATCTTTCAGTATTTGACTTATCTTCGTCTTGGCCTGTTTGAGTAGATTCGTCTGCATTATCCGATAGTACTGCCGTGAGGCGAAGCAGGTGAGCGATTGACAACTTCTAAGATCCGCATGTTCCCATTAAATCAGATTCTCTAATAAGGAAGTATCGTCAACGCCGAAGGTTCACATCATAGCCACCAAAATTTTCTTTGTCAAAATGCAGAGTGTTAAAACGCGCACACCCATCGACGACAGCTTGGCTCGTTACAGTCGTCTCGACTCACCCAGCGCCAGCGAGGTAGCTGGTGTCTTGCATAGAATGGTGTCGCAACTTCCAATACATTTGTGTTTTGTCCCGTGTAGCTTGAAGTCTAATGACACCCCTAATGCTTATTATAGTTGAGCGTCGCGAGGACGATCATGAGTAGATGCACAAACATGGATGAATTGGGACTATAGGAGAGCAAATCAACTCTAACTGCATTGTGAAATCCGTCGCCTTCTAAGCCCGTATCCATGCGGCCGTCAGCTGCTAATCCTCTTCCACTTCCAGGCTATCCGGGACCCACAGTTGCTCGCTGTGCATTGCTTGAACGTGGTCCATGAACCTTCTCTGGTCCTTGTGGGTTGGTTTCTGACATAACGGGCACATGACCCTTCCTCCTTTGGCATTTGCGAGATCTATCTTGAATGCGCGCTTGACTTGTTCTCTTCGGGAGTGGGTGTTGCCCTTCATGTGAGAGTGGAGGCGACGCTTCAACCAGATCTCGTCTTTCGCAGCTAAACTGGGTTAGTCTACATGATGCGTGGATAGGAAAGTGGACTGACCTTGCGAGATAGTGGGGTCAGCAGCGCATCGAAAGCATCGCAAGTCATCCGTCCCATAGATGGGCTTGTCGGTCTTGTCCACCCAGCATCTGATAAACGTGTTCCAGTCTTCAAAGCTTCCCTCGAAGTCATCGTCTGCGCCCGCGATGAGCATCTGACCCTCGGTGAACCTCTTCCAGGCTTCAGACTCATCCCTTCTGTCATCGAGTACTTCGCCTTCCACGTACTCGTCATCTTCTGCTACTCTAATGTCCATCTCGTTCACGTACTGCCCCATCCTATCCCTCTCCGCCGACGTACCCTCGATGCTCTTGCGAAGCTCTTCCTTGGTGTGTTCTGTAACTGCCACGCAAGCAGATTTCCGCTGCGCCAAGTGCTCGTCCAGCTCTTTCCTAATCTCCATGAATGCCGGCTCCTCGATACCCATCATCAGCGCCTTATACCTTCCGATGTTACGGTCCGTGATACAGTACTCCTCATCGGGCGAGAGGAGATTGGATTCTTGGAGCTTGGTGTGGGCTTTCATCAGGATATCGTGCAGTCCGGCCTCGAGTTCCTTGTATTGTGGGTCTAATTTCATAATCTGGCGTGCGCGAGCGTACATCTCTGCTTTTAGTGGCCTGACTGGTGATCCTGACGATGAAACCTTGACCCACTGCAGTTCCGCAAGATTAGTAAACATCTTGTGTATGCGAGAGGGTTCTCGTGAGTAGGCAGGAACAACTGGAAAGAGCATGTACTTACGAGCCTGTTGGACGGGGAGAAAAACTTTCGAATCGATGAGTCCGTGAGTGCTGCATTCCACACCCCCCCCCCAGTCTGAACGAAGTGACATCTCGTCGGTCAAATCCGTGCTGGTCGTAGTGGCGCATGGTGTTTGGGTTGTTTGGGGCGTGGTCGAGCAGCGCCATAGCGTCCTCGGTAGAGTGGTTCCTCTTTGCTTCCTGAGCTGCCTGCCTTCTGAACGAATACATAGACACATAGCAGAGAATACCGACCGAAAAGCAATATTCTTGGAGCTTTCGGTTGAGTGCACTGGATCGCATCTCTTGACTGGGAATAAGCTCACATTTCCTGTTCCCCGCAATGAACACAGCCTGTGTTGCCACTTCCGATCTGATCGTGGGGAAATGAAGGGACGTGTCGCTGAGGAGAATGTCCAACGGGTCGACAAACAAGCCTCGGGTATAAGCTATGGGATGTCAGTGTATGAGCTTGAGTCCCGAACATCCACGCCTTACCTTCACCAAATAAGAGCGCACTAAGGTCGAGATGTAGGCGTTCTTGCTTCGGCGCGAAAAAGAACTCCCTTGACCCGTCCAAGTTACCCTCTTTGTACTTGTCGTGGCTTCCTTTCAAAAAGCGGAACGTCAGGATACAGCAGTATTCCTGTTCGAACTTGTCAAACTTGATGTCAGCCCAGCGTAATGTGTGGGAAACGGCGCGCGTGGGCATGGTGTGGCTCATGGTACCACCTAGCGGGGCGCCTTTATGATAGCCGGTTCCAACTGTGAAAGTGCCGGGTCGGGCCCCGGTAATATAGGCAAGAACCCACGCGAGGTAATGTTGCTTTGTCTGGAGGACCCCCTCCTGAAGAGCCATGGCCTCCATGTACATCAATCCGAGCTCGAACTCGCCTAGCTCGTTCTTCTCCCTGATTCCTGTTGGCAAGTCTTGCTCCACGGCTACCATGTGGATATGCCTTAATACTCGGCAATAGTATTCCGTCTGAATCGATTCGAAGTCGAGCGTGTATCGATCAACCCAGAACCGAAGCGAATACTTGTACATATACAATGTACCCACCTGGGAGGTGTTAGTATCTGTTTACCATGGGGATTTGGATGAAACTTGCCTTGACCTTGTCATGGAGTACTCCTTCCGAGACCGTCGCCATGCACTCCAGGAAGCCGCAGACGTGGTCGATGAGGGTCTCACGACTGTACATCTCAGGCTCCTTTTCGATCCCGTAGACACTCTTGCAATATTCCTGGAAGTTACTGCGAGCTTGCGCTCGTTGGGCAATTGTACCGGGAGCCGAGCTGTCATAGAAGCGGGAGCGTTTCGAACTAACTTTGAGCTTCTCCTTTTGCGCGTTGCTCAGTGCAGCCATCTACGCGGCCATCTTGGCGGAAGGGTGCTTAGGTGGTAGAGACAGAGACATCGCGTTCTGCTCGTTTGTATGGACTGAGTAGGATGTGTGGGATCGAGGTCTTTGGTATCCAGCGCGTGGAGAATACGACACCGATGATGACCTCTGCTTCGGGCTAATGGGAGATTGGTGGCGCAGTTGCTGTCTGCGGAACGGATACTTCCGAGCGTTGAGAAGGTGAGGGTTGTGGCTGTGGAGGTCGGACTAGGAGGCGTAGTAGCGCGGATGCCGTTGGTTGATGAGGAGAGTGAGCGTTACGAATGTGAGAATCAAGGCTGCGGAGGTCTGGTTGGAAAGTGCGAACAGGATGTGTGGGGTGGAGGTCTTCAGTGTATAGCGCTTATAGAACATGACGCTGACAATAAGTACTGCGTCAAGCTGTCGAGACGCTTGCTCGTGCAGATCTTGATGGTTAATGAGAAGAGTGGCACGCTGAGAAGCCGAGGATGAAGGCTGCGGAGGACTGGCGGTGAAGAATGGTGAGTGCAGTGTTTGGGTAGGTGAGGTTTGCTTGGCGCGTGGGTTGGGAAGGTGCGACGCACCACAATCTATCTCACCTCGCGGCATCTGCTTCCTCTTCGCTTCTTCTCTGTCAATCTTCGTCCGCCTCCTTTCATATACTCTGTCCTTCCGCTTCGTGTCTGACAGTCGTTTTCGCCGCGCCCATTCGCTCCTTCGCTTCTACTAATCCTCACCCGCGTTGCGTCCATTTTCTAATTGCATTTGCGAATGCCCAGCTGCGCCGCCTAGACAATACGTATCGCGTCTGGAAACACTTGGTTGGCTCAGTGCTTCACTAGCCTGCTTCCACTCCGAAGCTATGGCGGTCAACGAGGCGCTCGAGCGCAGCGGCGATGACATCAAGGAGAAACTCGCAGCCTTCGATGCCCTGGCGACCAGGGACAACATGAAGCTTTTTCTTGTTCAATTGAATGCCACTATTCCTAAGTTCAAGGACCGGGTACGGCTGACTGGGAGCAAACCTGAGCTGAAGAGCCGGTATCACCAGTACCTCCTAAGGGTATGATCTTCCATCGCTGCATCTACTCGTCGTCCGCTAACTGACCTCCTTGCAGTCCGCCGAGTTGCCCGTAACGAACACAGCTACAACACCTTCAGCAAAGCGCTCCGCAACGGCGCAACAGTCAGCGGCACCGAAGCGCGTGAAGCGTGAACCGCAAACAGGAGACGACGGAGAGATGAATTACAAGAGCATCGAAGACACCGAAGTGCCACAGCTAGCAGCACCGAAGCGCGTGAAGCGTGAACATCAAGCAGGAGACGACGGAGAGATGGACTACAAGAGCATCGACGACACCGAAGCGCTACAGCCAGCGGCACCAAAGCGTGAGAAGCGTACACAGCAAGCTGGAGAGAGCGAGGCGGTTGGCGACAAGAGCACCGACAATACCCAAGACATGATGTCAAGCATGCTGTCGCGTCTCTTTGTGGCAGATAGGGTGCAGCTATCAACATCCACAATAACCTGCCTCGGCGCTTTGGGATCTCCGCTGAGCGCTGTCGCAGCGCGGAAGCCCGAGAACGGAGATCTATCGAGCAGGCTTTGGCCGCTGGTCGACCCGATATCCACTCTCATCTCCGCTCGCGACTCTATCATCGCAACGCACAGTTATCTCGACAATCTTGGTCGGTTGGCTGCTGCAATTCGCACACGTCCGGTCACTGCCCCAGCCTGCTTCAGCTCATTCCTTGCCTGCTTACATTCCACGTTCATCGTGGACCGCGGAGACGCCGGAGATACGTTGGCTGTGCCAGACAAAGAGCCGGAAGACACGAGTTTAGACGAGGCAGCAGTTATGGCCGAGGTGGATGTCCTGTCGAACGAAGTAAACCGCGCCTTGGCCAAATGGAGTTCATCCTTCCCTTCGCCCCCTTCCGATTCCATGATATATCCGGTGGACTTCAACCAAACGGAGAGGATAGAGCTGAGAGGCTTTGCCAGGAAGTACATTGAGAAGTACCCCCATCTCAGCAAGCTGGGGATAGCGAGAGAGGTCTTGCTTGCTACCAGTGAAGACATTCTGGCAACCGGGCCCATCGAACGAGGGGAGAAGTTGAAGACAGCGATGAACGTATCGATCGAGGCAAGGAAGAACGTCAATCTTGTCAAGGGCAAGCCTCCGTCTACCAAGAGTCCTGACTGTGAGGTGGGTGACAAGGAGGAAGAAGGGGAGAAGACGGACAAGCCGAAGGCGCGAAGACGGATGCCAGTGGTGGCCGAGGTCGGCGAGGAGGAGGAGGAAGATCAGGATGTAGTCACTATCGCTGGGAAATAGGTAGCCAATTGCACTTTGAGCTTACACGTCTACAATACAAGAGTTGAGATGAGCATATCTGCGTATTGTCAGCATAACTACGCTTTCCAAGGGCTGATCTTGAGTTGTGCAAGATTTACCGTTGTAGCTCATAATCATTGTTGCTCGGCTTGATGTCGCGATGGGGACAGGCCATCTGCAGCGAGAAGCGGGAAGAGGAGGTTGATAACCTTAAGAACGGATGTTGTTTCTCGAGCTTTTTAACGTTGACTGAATCGTTTAGGAAGTGCTCTACCCGGATTCTCGAACTGAAACTTCAGGACTAGGACATCGAAAGCTGTAAAAATATATGATGGATCTAGCTGCAGGCTACTAGAGTTGAGTTGGCTTCCAAACATGTTCTTAAGCCCACCAGGTGTCTGTTTTAGGTTGTTCAACTTGAAATTCAATGGGTGTGTTCAGTGTCGTAGCGAAGGCAGCTGAATCATAAGTGCGAGTCCCGTGATGCCACGGTCGCCTATTTGTAACGGGTGGAAATATGCGTTGAGATTGCATTACTTGTGAGATACTACGTTGTCGAACGATCAATCGCTGGTGGGCCGGAGTTTTGATGTTCCCGCACGGGCCGCGAGCTAGTGTGGCGCTAGCCCCAATCGGATGACAGAACGTGGGTTCGATCCGTGCCATGTTCCCGAAGCCCAGTGAGCGGGAAAACCACGAAAAGGAAACAAAAAGTTGGCTACAATGGATGTCTGGCAACCAAAAAGATAGGTTGCTTCTAAGGAAGCTTAGCATGCCTGCTACCAGAATTGAACTTTAGGGGAATTAGAATGGCTCCTATGCGATTCGAATGTGGGTATTTACCTGGCGACCTCGTCATTACTAGTGACGCGCTCTACCACTGAGCTAAGCAGGCTGTAATGGTGAAGATGAAAATTCTCAATGAGAAATCAATATGAGCCACATGTAAATGAAGGATCTGTTTTCTCTTGAATGCTATTCGTTCAGAAGGCTACAAGCTTCAGAAACCCTCGTGTATTTCCTAAAAATCATAACCCACATTTTGTGTTAGGCTCGTCCCTCGTAGCGAATCTGCTCTGAACACCAACCCCACAGCAGCCGGACCCGCTTAGCATCGGATAAGTAAGTTGCACATTTCAGCAGGAGGCAGGGCCGCGAATTAGTCTGTCTTATTACTAAGCAGAGCCGTGGGCGTAAGATAATTTGATAGTCTACACGATTTGTGAAAAAGCTTTGAAGCTGTAGCACACGAGATAAGTTCACGAAGAAACAGGCCCTCCGTGGGCGTAAGATATAGCACTCAAGATTGCTTCGTCTCATGTCCACCCCTATTCGTCAAGCGTCGCGCTTTGTTGTTCTATAGGCACGTTTGACAAAGGAGGAACACGCTAGCTCTCACTCAGGGCTACTGCTGGTAGCTTCATTTCGCAGTCGGAGTTACTTCACAGCAGCGAATAGATACCCTTGCCACGTAGACTCGTTTGCGAAGAGAGTCGCGTTGGATCAGTGTCGCGCTGTCTTGGTCGAATGAGACGCAATCGCAGTTTCAGTGCAAGCGCGCGTGGCAGCGAACGACATCAACACGATCGCATCAGCGACGCAAGCGCATGACATTAGCAAGACATGCAAATATGATGTAAATGAAAGCACGGGGTGGATCTCCGAGTTTGTGTGGAGGTGGATCTGGGGCGGATGACCAGTTAAGCGCAAGCTCATTCACATGCCACCGCGAGCCCGCCAAGGCACCAAATTAAGAACCTGGCGATTGAGCCTCTCCCGCTGATCGCGTTCCTTTCTGCCAAAACCCCTTCAAACACGACTTCTCCCAACACCGCGACACTTCCACTAGACAGATTTACTGCCAGGCCCCGAATCCTGGCTCCGACCATTACCATTCCCAATATTCCACTACAACCATCTATGGGCTCTGCTTCCTTCGCCGCGACCGCTTTCCTACCCACCGCTCAGCTTACCGCAGTTGGCTCCTTCTTCCCCTACACCGCACTGAGCTCAGGCCTGAACAAGACGGACGCCTCTTTCGCATCGCTGGTCCGGCTAGGGGTAGGAGTTCCGCCGTGAATCCTCGCGGCGGACTGTAATATTGGTTTGCCCAAGACCGGCGTTGGATGTGCGCGGACTCCTCTCCAAAGCGTGCGCAAATGCTGACTTGACCAGAATACGGGCGCAGCTTGGAGAGTGATAACTCTTTATCGCATTACCCCTCACTACCGTTACCATGGTTTTCGCATTCGACCAGAACGATGCCCAACTTCCGGCCAACGCGCCGCGAAACCTTGAGCCTGCCCTGCCCGAAGACGACATGTTCGCTTCGGGACCCATGGACATGAGCCCGCCCAAAGCGCCCCTCCACGTAGGAACCCCGCCGATCAACATCGTCAGCCCTATGCCACAGCGCGCAGTGCAGCCCGGCCCCGAAGGCAAGCAGCAGGGACCTGACAAATTGGATTTCGACGCCGTATTCAAGAAGGCTCAGAAGAACAAGAAGAAGAAAAAGAAGGGTCTGAAAGCAGGACTACAAGCCACAAGCGTCACCCGGGGCTTTCACACTCCAGTCACGTCTGGTGGGGAAGAGTCGGACTACTCTCTGGCCACCACACCGCGCTTCGGACCTGTGCGCTCTGGACTTCCCAGCGTCACCAGCAGCCCAGCGCTCAGACCCCAGTCCACTGCGGGAGGCATCAGCAACCTCAAAGCCCAGCTAGAGGCGCTGAACCTAGGCCCAAGGAGCGACTCACCCATGAAGGATTCCCCAGGAAAGGGTGTCGCTATGAGCAGGGTCACGTCACAGTTGTCGAGCAACACCAGCATGTCTGGCCGAGAAAGTGACAGTGACCGCACGGAGATGGAGAGCTACGAAATCGACCTCAACGCAGAAGACTTCAGCATCGACACGCTCTCCAAGACTTCAACCATGCTGAACAGCGGCATGGCGCGCAAGATGACGGCCGAGGACTTTGAGCCATTGATGTGTCTGGGCAAGGGCAGCTATGGCACCGTCTTGCTGGTCAGGCAGCGCGCGACAGGCCGCCTTTTCGCGCAGAAGCAGTTCAAGAAGGCGTCAATCACCGTGCATAAGAAGCTCATCGAGCAGACCAAGACGGAGCGCAATGTGCTCGAAAGCGTGAACCGCCACCCTTTTATCGTCAACTTCTACTACGCTTTCCAGGACCAAGAGAAGCTGTACCTCATTCTGGAGTATGCCCAAGGCGGCGAGCTGTTCCACCACCTCGCTGCTGAGCGCATGTTCTCCGAGGACGTAGCCGCCTTCTACATGGCTGAAATGGTGCTTGCGCTCGACCACCTTCACCGCACAGTCGGCGTCATCTACCGCGACCTCAAGCCCGAAAACTGCCTCCTAGACTCCGAGGGTCATCTGCTCCTTACCGACTTCGGCCTCAGCAAAGTCAGTCTTGACGAAGACAGCCCCTGCCGCTCCATCCTCGGTACCGTAGAATACATGGCTCCGGAGGTGGTTCAAGGTCACGAGTACGGCGCTGCAGTCGACTGGTGGTCCCTGGGCGCACTCGGCTTCGATCTTCTCACTGGCGCTCCTCCCTTCACTGGTAACAACAACGCCAAGATCCAGGAAAAGATTGTAAAGCAGAAACTTGCCCTGCCATATTACCTCAGCGCCGACGCCAAGGACCTCCTCACTCGCCTCCTCCGCAAAGACCCCAAGAAGCGCCTTGGCTTCAACATGGCCAAGGATCTGCCGAACATCAAGAAACACAGGTTCTTCCGCAAGATCGATTGGAAGAAGTTGGAAGCGAGGGAGCTGGAACCGCCGATTCAGCCGCTCATTACGGATCCGGAGTTGGCGGAGAACTTTGCCCAGGACTTTACCGATCTGCCGCTGAGCCCTGTTCTAACGAAGAAGTTCGACGACTTGATGTTTGAGAGCCAGGCTTCTAGCAATCCTTTTGGAGGGTTCAGCTTTGTCGCTAGTCAGAGCCTGTTGGACAGTGGGGAGTGGGGATATTAGAGGGATAGGAGGAACATTGGCTTTGGTGTTTTTTGTTTTCTGCATGCTTGTTTATATCGTTGTTCGAGACAAGATCGTAATAGAGCACCATCACTATGCGATAATGCAAGGTTCAAGATCAATGGTTACTAGATAGAATTGTGTTTTCGTAGGTTGCTAAACCATCTTATTCCAAACTCCGTGCTCGTGCCGTCATCGGTATCATGCGCAAGTATTCATACAGACTGTAAACCAATTGGGAATCGTTGAATCGAAAGAAATGTCGTTCCAGTCCTCCGCCGTGAGCACTTAAGGTGTTCGTATCTAGGAGGTGGGGGCAGCAGCGGCAGCATAGGAGTCGCCGCTCTTCTCGTTGCTACCCTCGGTAGCGACACCGCCCTCGCTGGCAGGCTTCTGCTTCTTAAGGTCGGCCAAATGCCTAGCCTCGTTGTGGACGTCCATGACGGTCTTGTTACCCTGCTCGTAGAAAGCACGGAGCTTCTGTCCGGTGGGTGTGGAAGCAGCCTTGTCGAAGTAGCTGGTCATCATGTTGAAGGCAGCGTAGCCCTTGTTTGTTATGCCCAGCTTCTGGTCAACGACCTGCGCCTTCTGTGTAGCCTGAGTCTTCTGGTCGAAGTTGTTGAGGACGTTCATGAACTTGGTGCTGTAGCCGTTCTGCTTGTCTGCGGCGAGAGCCTTCTCGATGGCGGTGTCGGAGATGGCATAGCCGTGGGCGAGGTACTCGGCGATGATGCGTGCGCGGGGCTTCTGCTCCTGCTCGATGTGGTGGTCGCCGTCCTTGGCGTCGTCAGCGGAGGCAGACTTCTCGCCGGCAATCTCGTCGATGCTCTTAGCGGACGTGACCTGGACCGAGTTGTGGCCGAGCTGTGTGTTGTCGAGGAGGAGGGCCGTCTTTGCGGCGGCGGCCTTCTCGAAGGTGACCGAGGCAGACTGGGTGTCGTCGCCCGAGGGCTTTACGCTGAGCGACTGGATCTTTCCGCAGAAGGAGAAGAAGCTC